AGAGGAGGCGAGGGGATGAATGGGGTTGGCGGAGATAGCGGCACAGGTGCGAGAAGTGCGAACACTTGCCGCCGTGGCGTCATGTCGCCCGCCGCCACGCCACGCCATCTCCCGGGCCGGAAAGATAGCGAGGCAGGGCAGGGCAGGGGAGGAGGCGCCTGCCCGCCGCCAGGCCGGGCGAAGGAGCGGGCCAGGCCAAACATTGTTTTCACACCTGCAACAAGTGACGACCCTTTTCGGTTTCAATTAACCTGGCTGCTTCCCGTCCTGTAGTCGGCGGCCGGATCCCCGCCCCCCGGCCGGCCGGCGGAAACCTCTTCGGGAGGAGAAGGGGGTGGTTAAAAGTTGCAGAGGAGACCAGAGGGAAAACGCCACGGTCGGGAAGGGGAGGGTGTTGTCGCACGCTGGTTGGTTTCGCCCGCCTGTGCCGTTCGAATGATATCAGCACTCTAGTAACGGTCTGCGAGTTAAGTCAGTTGCTTAAAACTCCGCCACCCTATGACCTCGACGGGGATGTGACTGGACGACGTCCACGTCCGTCCGGAGGGGAAGGGGAGGAGGACAACTCGCTCTCCGACGACGGGGGCGAGACGGGGCGTGGCGTGTGCATCCGGACTGCGCGCGTCGGCGGCGGCTCTTCTGGCGCGACGTCGGCGCGACGTCGGCACGTCAGCACAAAACCGAGTCGGCAGCAGTCGGCACGCAACACAACACAGGAACTCTCTGGGGCGATGAAGACCGCGGAGCGATAGGAGAGAGAGAGAGTGGTGGTGGGGAGAGGAAGGGGGAGCGGCCCGTCGGGGCGGTGCGAGAGAAGGGTCATTGGTCAAACGGCCCAACCCGTCCCATCGGCAGCGGCACCTACACACACCTGCACACACACACACGCACACATGCACGAGAAGCAGCCCGAAGCAGCACCCTCCTCCCGGACCGGACCTCAAACCGGGGCCGCGGCCGGCGCTCGCAGGAACACGAAGGCGGCACCAGAGCGGCGGCAACGGCGCAGCGTGGCAACAGCAACCACCACACCACCATCGCGAGGGCGATGATGAGAAATCTTTCGCTGCAATTACACCTCGTAGCCCCACCTTTTCGCAGCGACCCACACGCCTCCGTGCGGACAATTTGAGCAGCAGCACGGCATGTAACGCCTCCGAAAATCGCTCTTGCTCGGCAGCGTATAAAACGGCAAATAAGTACTTGAAAATCGACTCATCGACAAATTTGGGAGCAGCAGCAGCAACAAGTTTGGTCCGGTTCCCCCGCCGTCTCGCCGAGCCCCCCAAAGAGTGCAAGCTCCCCGCCAGCCGCCCGCTCGGCCCCGTGTCAGCTCCCTCCTGGGGTCCCGACATGGCCCCCGACATGGTCCCCGACTTGACCCGCCCCGCGCCGCCCGCCGCCCGGCAGTGGTCGAGGGAGCGGGGGCTGGGAACGAGGACACCAAAACGGACCATGAGTAATGGTGGCATCTAACCGAATTTAACCGTGATGCGGCCTCCCACACCCACATCGACGGCAAAGAAGTAACAACAAAAACCAGCCACCGCTCACCGCAAGCGGCCCGCAGCGCGCCGGTGAGGTGGCCTGGGCGTCTCCGGCGTGCTCGCGTGCCCCGCAACCTCCCCCTACGGATGCCACGGCAGCAAGAGTCGGGTCCGGGCCGTTTTACACTGTGATCATATGGTGGTCACACTGAAACCAAAGTGGTATTTCCCTTGAAGCCTTGTTTGCACGCATTTAAATGTGTGCATCAGGGTCGCATAAAGGAGCTAATTTTGCACCTTTTGGACGCGAATTCGCCGGCGCGAGGTTCAACAACACCACCAACTGCGAGCTTCCCACACACGCCAACAAGTCAGCGCACCCTTCCTGGCCGCCGTCGACGCTTCTCGGGCGTCCGCCCGCCCCGGCCCCTCAAACCGACCGAGCTCGGCCAAAAACTCGCCAGTTTGTAACCGATACGCTACCTGAGCCCAAGAGGATGGGAAAGAGCCTCGAGCAGGGCGAAGAAAAATAAAAAGAAGTAACGACAAGACTCGGGGGCGGCGGCGGGGGGAGATACGGGGCTTGTGCAGCTCGCCGAATAATCGGGGAGGGGTTGTGGTGGCGGGGGCGAGAGGGCGCAGGGCAGACGGATGGGCGAACGCTTTAGAGGAAGAGAGCGAAATAAAACAGCAAAAAGCAGAAGAGAGAGGGAGAGAGACAAAAAATAAAAAGTCTGGTGTTACACGGGGCACACGTCGTCACATATGGTGTGGTTTTCATATTGGTGGTTCCAGGGTATCCCCTTACCGGAGGTAAGTGATTCCATAGCGCACGGCGCGCCACGCACCCGCACGCCTCACTGCCCCTGGCTGCGAAACACACATAAGTGGGTGGTTGGTGTGGGAGAGCGGGGCCGGTTTGCTTGTCGTGAGCGCTAAATCCAATCGCGGTGAGCGGCACTTACTCCGAAATGTCAACACACACTAGGCGCGCGCGCGCGCCCGCGCTCCCTTTCTCCCGGTGCGCGCGCGTCCCGCCCCTTTGGCCCTCCCTCCTGAGGTCACGCAGCAGTCGCCGTGGTAGTGGTGGTGGTGGTGGTGGTGGGTCACCTCTCGCCAACAGCGCGCCGGCCAAAGAGTCGTTTCAAATGACATTCTCACACCTCGTCAAGTGACTCACGCTCGGGCGAGCGAGCCAAAGAGGTGCGAGTCGCACGCTCGTATCGATGTGATGTGTCGGCATCGAAGCACATACTCGGACAGAAGTATGGTAGCAAAGGTTTTTCCCACCACATACGAAGGTGGCGGCCACGCCACGGACCGGAAATGTTTCCATGTCTGCGTTTCAAGAAATATGAAGCAAATCGCCATGGGGGCGCGCGCGGGGGCCCCGCCCGGCCGGTGTGGGGAGGGGGTCCATGGGCTGCGACGTGTCGGTGTGGGAACTCGGTTTGGCTTTAGGGGGCCACCACGGCCAATCCTCTCCCTCTCCTCCTCCCTCCTCCTCTTATCTCCACCGTTTCAATCTCTTTAATTCATCCTTTGTCCCATCAACTTTCTTTGCCCGTCTTCCCTTACCTGGTGCAGCCGCAGCCGCCGCGAGCCAGCGCCCGGGCCCGGGCCGAGCCGGGCCCCGGGGCCCGCAGGGGAGGGGGGACGAGTTTCAAGGACCTCCCCACCACGCCCCCTGGGCTCCCGCCAATGGCCGGGCGCGGGCCGGCCGAGGTGTCGGGGTGGGGGGACGGAGGGGGCGGGGCACAGGGGGGCCCGGGCGGCACAGGGGGGCCCGGGCGCGGCCCCGGAGGCGGGCGGCTGGAGCCAAAGGAGCCTGGTGGTACTGGTACCCCGTCCGGCCGAGGGGGCGGGGAGGGGGGATGTACCCCCTTTGCCTCCCCCCACACACCCCTCACCTCCCCGGACCAGGGCCCCCTTCGGCCGACCGGCTCTGCATGGCAAGGCTTTTCAATGAATACCGTACGGTGTTGCCACGGTGCCCTGCCCCGCCGGGCTGTCCAATATGAAACACCTCTTCGAACCGAAGAGCCGTCGGTGCAACCGCACTGGGAAGGAGAAGAAGACCCCCTCCTCCTCCTCTTCGCCACCACGCCCAGCCACGCCGCCGTGCATCGCCCACCGCCGCTGCACCCAAACGGCGCACGGCTCTGCGTGGCCACGAAAATGTTGGACGAGAAACTGTGTCGTGGCCCGGAGCACAGGGAATTACAATTTCAAGCCAACACGAATCATTTCTGGCTATTTCTGGAGGTTGCTTAATAGAATTACAACGATACAGAGGTTTGCAAATTTCGGGAGGCTCTGAACCTTTTTAACATCATGTCCTCGAGTATGCTCGTGCTGCGCATTGCCACCGAAGTCAACCCCCGCCTTTACTAAATCAGTCACCGTGTAAGCGAGTAAGATCGTGCGCGGCCGCCGCTGTTCATGCGTTCGTGTGGGCGTATATGACTCTGTGTGTGTGTGTGTGTGTGTGTGACGCTCGATTTCACGCTGCGATGGACGCGCGTCGCGGCGTGTAACGTGAATGCCGGCCGTAAAGCGACGCCAGCATCCTCGTCAAAATTTGTAACGAGGCACTAATGGGCTGCACGGTTTTCCTCCTCGACACCCGCACCGTGTTATTATGATTACGATTATTATGAATTCCTGGAAATCAACCGCGGCGGCCGGCGGCGGGGGCGGCGGGGCAGCCAGAGAGCGTGGCGCGGCGGTGTGTGAGTGAAGGCAGTAGTGGCGCTCCTCCCCCACAACATAGTTCTGATGCGGAGAGAGAGAGAGGGGGGAAAGAGATCTAGGGTAGGAGGGTGAAGGAAGGGCCTATGTCAAGGATAGGATAGAGGAATGTGGCCCACCACCGCCCCTCCTAATGTGTGAGTTTTACATTTGTAGTTAGAAGAGTATTCCTAACACACATTCAAGGATTTTTTATACAAAAGCAGAATCAGATTAAGTTTGAGTGGTTTCAGTCGGTTAAACCAATTTTCTTCTCTTCGTTAACTTCGCAAACGACAAAAACCATATTTCTGGAAATGAAAATAATTCCGATCACAATAGGGTTGGATGGGAACGGGAGTGGAATCTCTCGCGCGCTGAGGCAAAGTAGCCG